CAAACAGAGGCAAAGGAGCCTGCAGCCCCAGGTTGCAGGGAGGGTTCTGGAGTGCTGGTGCGTGTCTGCCAGCTTCTCCACACGCCCCAGGCAGGGAGGAGCAACGGAAGCTGCCCACTCCTAGCCTACTCAACACTCCAGGAAAGAAACTTGGAGAAACTTGAGGAGAAGGCAAGTTTTGTAACAATACAGCCATATTATCTTACCACAGAGAAAGAGAACAGCAGCCCATGACAGCTGGAGTAGGGCTGCCACTCACAGCCAGGCCATGGTGTCCTCCTGTTGAACATACACCGTTTCACGGAACGTGTCAAGGCCACTCTGTGACTTTGATGGATCAGGACAAAAACAAGGCCACCCTGTAACCACATCGGACACAGACAAACCAAGACTATCGTAAACCACAAAGATGACCAACTATCCCTTTCTCCGTGATCGTGAGTGACCGCTGCTTCTTGACCATCACAGCCTCGGTCTCGCTCCGGTCTTCTCCTCGTCCAGATAAGAGTTCAGATACTCAGTCATAGACTAGCCCTTGCTTCCCCACAGCAACCCATCCAGAGCAGAGCCAGACTGTGCCTCCTCATCGTCTCGCCCAGCATCACCTAGCAAAAGCCTAAATCCTAGAATAAATCCTTTCTCACACCCTCTCGCCGAGATGCCCCACGGTTCCCCTGGTGTGCACCCTCCCTGTGGCGATGAGTCAAGAAAGCCAGCTTTGTTCAACCTCAGGTGCGTTCCTGGTGGGCTTGGGTGGAGAGCATTGATACTGTAGGTCTCAGGTGGTTGTTAGGGGCCACCTCGCCGCCTTCTTGGCTCCTGACCTGTATTTCCACCTCCATGCAGTCATAGCACGGAGATTGAGAGGAAGGACTCCTGGTTCTGGCGCTTACTAGTTGCATGACCTTGGGCAAGTTGCTTCACCTCTTTGACTTTGTTAACTGATCTGTAAGATGGGGGTGATGATGTTGATGACAATAATAGTACTTAACTCTCAGGGTTGCTCTGAGGATTAGGTGAATTTATACGTGCAAAGCACTTACATGGGCCCTGGCATATAGTAAAATTTTTTTAAATTAATTCAGCAAACATTTGTGGAATACCCAGTGTATGCCAAGTCCTGTGCTAGATGCAGGGATAAAAAGTGGCTCCCGTCCTCCCAGAAAGCACAGTTTCGCCAGAGAGACACAAGGAGACAGTTCCACCCCATGGATAAGAGCTAACATCAGGCAAACCCGGAGAAAAGCATAGCAGGACCCTTCAAGTTTGGCCTGGGAATCAAGGAAAGCTTCCTGGTGGAGGCAGCCCAGTGCCTGGTAAAGCCTGTGCTCAAATGAACAAATGTCTAACACTGAATTTGGCAGCTTTGCCCACAAACTGGTGCCTCCTCGGACTTTCCCGTCTCCTCCTCTGACCACTGTTGCCCCAGGTCCCCTGTAGCATCAAAACCACCCTTGAGTCTTCCTCCTCTTCCACTCCTGCAGCACATTGGCCCCCAGATTCTTTCTCCCCAAGAATGTCTGCATCGGCCCCTTCCTTTTTGTCCTCATTGCTTCCATGCCAGTGTTGGCCCTGACAGGCCACCTGCACATCCGGCCTGCTGCCTGCTCCCCATTCTCCAAGCTCTCCTCACCCCACCTTTCCTGCACACAGTCCTTTCCACTGCCACTTTGATCCTGTCACTCCCTTACTCAGCACCTTCTGTGGCTCCCTACTGCTCTTTGAATAAAGCCCAAACCTTTCTGTGGGCGATCAAAAACTGTACTGTCTAGCCCCGAACCAACTTTCCAGCCTTCCCCACTCCCAACTATTCTTTCAAGAGCCTCCTTTCCCTTTAGACCAACACCTTGAAACGTCTTGCCTCTGTGCTATATTTAACATATACGGGGTGCCTGCCTGCCGTTGCCCCCTTCCAGAGAACCTTCTCCCACAGCCTCAATTGAGCAGCAACAGATCCAGAGATCCCGCTGAAGACCTGGCCTGGGTGGGTTCTGCTCGGCTGTCCCAGCGACCTGAACTTGGCTGGAAAAGATGAGCAGAGCAGTCAGAGTCCCTGCCATGGATGTTTGAAATAAGAGCCACAGAGGGCTGTTCCAGCCAAAAGAGATGAAAGAGTTGAAGCAAGACTGGTCAGCCGTCATGGGGGGATGGGGAGAGTGAAAATGCTAAAGAAGATAGAATGGAAACAGATGCACAGAAAGAAGCATGAAAGAGAAGAGGGAGAGAGAAGGGAGGAGGAAGAGGGAGAGAAATACAAGGAAAGTGTCATGTCCCTACTGGAACATGGAGTCTTCCTTCCTTCCATCACCCTCTCCCCATCCAGGCCTTCAAGGCTTTGCTCAAGTACCCATGACTTCCCCAGATATTTCCTGAGTCTGGAAAACTTTCTGCCTTATTCTTCCCTCATCTTCTAGAACCAACATGAATGCCACCTTTTCCAGAAAGCCTTCCATGTCCCTCCCAGCGGGCAATCGCCTCTTTCTTGCTTCTCTAAATTCCTTTGATTCCTTGTTAACTTACACGGCCGGGGCGGGGCGGGGGGGGGGGGGTGGGGGGCAGATGCTGCCTTGGTGCTGCGGTGCCAGATTCTGTGGAACCATTTGTGACCAAGCCAATCACAAAGTATGGGATAAGCCAACTGTTTCTCGCAGAGCCACTTCAGAAATTTTCATTTCCGGTTGTCACAATGGCTGGGGTGGGTGGCATCACTGCCTTTGTTGAGCTGGGCCCGGGATGAGGGGTGGCCTGCAATGGGTGGGACAGAATCATGCACCAAGAATGGTTCCATGTCCTACAGGTCTTGGAAATGTCACATGGAATATTCATACCTGTATATAATTATCTCATCCTAGAGCCTAATTCTCCTTCACATCAACATTTTTTGAACTATAATATTAAACTGAGTTTTCTGAGACTACAGCTACTGAGTAATTATTGGGCTTTGTTCAGTTTGAAGTGTTACCTAGTCTGGTTTATCATTTGAGAAAATCACTTCACATGGTGGACGCACCCCTTGTAGCATTTGAGTTGCCGATGCTACGACCTGTATTTGTAGCTGTCACATTCTCTGTGAGTCCATGGGTCGGTGTAAATATCCAACTATATCGTGTTTTCTGATGTACTTGTGCCTGACCACTTACAATCAAAAGATACATTTTTCTATCATAAATTGCTTTTCTTATATCTTTTATATTACATTCAGAGCATTATATTGATTTTTAAAAATTGCATAGGTATGCTGTGTTATTTATGAATTTCATTTCAGGATAATGAAGGTGTCTTTACAAAATATTTCTCACAAAAATGGGCATTGGATCTGAGAGGGCTGAGGATCATTGGCCCAGGCCAGTGAAATGCTCTTCCATTGAAGGTGTGAGGGTGTGGATGTGCATGGAGCGACCATTCCTGGGAGCTCTGGGGCTGACACAAGTGGCCTGCACAACCTGATGACTTCTGGGGAGCACCCAGCACTTGCCTGATGTCTGAAGGCAGGTCCTGGAACACAGGGTGGAAACGTAGGTGAGCACTGGTCCCTGGGAGACAAGACTGAAAACTGGGTTCAGAGTTGAGAGGCATGTGGTGGATGACGCGCCCGTCTTCTGTGAGGTCAGAGGCTTGGTGGAAGGGTGGAGGTGAGGGTACCGTCATGGGACCAAAACTGGGAACTGAAAATTACAGCTTTTGGCAATTGTGGGTATTATGGCTATGAATATTCTAGTACATGTGTTCTGGTGAACACGCACCCACTTTTCTGTTGGTAAATAACTAAGAGGGAAACTGCTGGGCTATAATGTACACCTATATTCAGATTTAGTAGACAATGCTGAGCAGTTTTCCAAAGAGGGTGAACCAATTGATACCCTCTCCAGCCAATGTATGAGAGTTCTGTCGTTCTCCGGCCTTGCCAACATTGCTATTTTCCTTCCTTTGCATTTTAGCCGTTCTGGTGGGTGTGGAGTGGTATCAACCCCAAGTTCAGCAGCAGCAGAATAGATAAGGATTTGTGGTCTAGTCACACAGTGGACCTCTATTCAGCAGTAACTACTACAAACAACCACCTGATGACCCCCACAAACACTGTGTTGAGCAAAAGAAGGCAAACACAAGAGTTCATACTGTATGATTCCATTCATATAAAGTCCCCAAACAGGCACAATGAATCCCTAGGGTTAGAAGTCAGGGTGGTGGGGAGGGAGCAGCGCAGAGATTGGAGAGGAGCTGGCGGGGCTTCTGGAGGCTGGGGAGTCCTGTGGTCTGTGTCTTGATCCAGGTGCTGGTTTCTACGGTGTGTTCATTTGTAGAAATCTACTGGGCTATATACTTTCGATCTATGTCCTTTTTGTAAGTTTCAACGTTGAACATATATTAACATTGTATACGTGAAAATGTCACATGTGACATTGAACGTGTGACAATGTGAGACTCCATGTGACAATGAAACTACAAGGGTTCAGGGCCCTCCCTTCATCTCCTCACCATCTATGCATTGAGACTTTAAAGTGTAACTCTCTAGTGAGCATGGGTGACACCGAATGTGTGTGTAGAGCCTGGTGTCAAATATGTGTTTGAAATCATGGCTCCAGGTCTCTTGTAATCATGCTACCTCCCGCCCTGGCTGAACAATTCCTTCTGAGAACAACATCAAAGCTATTAACAAACACTTCCTTCTCCTCAGCTACTGGGGCACATTAGGAGTCCCTTTGAACTTTGCACTCTTTGCCACATCTACAAAGTGACAAGTCAGTCTCTGAAGAAGGGGAAATGGACCTTATAACAGTCTCAGCGTTCATAACCTCTGCTCGTTTATTAACCACCTTAATCTAGCAAGGGCCAGGGAGGACTACGCCAAGTAGCAAACAGGAGTTACGCTCACATCTAATGGTTAGAAATCAGATGTGGGAGTCTGGGTGGCCACGTGGGTCTCCCTTTGGCTTGGTGGGCATGACATAGGCCCGATAGCACTGACCCCATGCTAATGAGCAGCAGTTTTCTCTGCACAGCCCTTCCCGGCCTGGATCAGAAGAAGCGTGGCAGCCACAAAGCATGCTGCCTGCTGACGCCCCCTCCACCCCCACTGTTCCCACCACCATTCTTCAGAGGGGGCCGAAGTCCGGTGAGTACCTTAGGACTCGTGAGAGAACAGAAATGCGGCTGGTCGGTGCCCACTGCACAGCCCCACCCCGCTGCCCCACCACTCGAATTGAGCTGCCTCCAGAAGCTTTTCTGAGGGACCAACCCTTTTCTCGCTGAGCCCTGGATGGACGTTTTTCGGTTTCTGGTGTGTGTCCATTCTCCCACTGTCTTAAATAGGTTACGGAGGGAGATTCTTCTCAGCAGGGACTTGCATGTGGCAAACTGCCTCATCTTCCTGGAAACAATGAGATGAATTTATAACTTTCTGGGCTGCCATCAGCTGCTCAGATATGGAATTTCCTCTTTTGTACTCATTCTCTCCAAGTATTTATGAAATTCCCTTCCACAGCCCATATCTAACATGGACAATTTCCATGAAGTGACACGGGAAATGGTCCTCCTGTAGCCATAATGAGTTGTGAGAGGGAACAGAATTTGAAAATAAAGGAAAAGGTGAGGAAAAGAGCAGGGTTTGGGAAGCTGACCTAAAAAACAACAGACTGGGGCATTCTAGGGACTTGGAATTCACAGATCTTTCTAGAAACTCTTAGACCTGTACTGTCCAATACAGTAGTTACTAGCAATATGTGGCTATTGAACACTTTTAATGTGGCTAGTTTGAGTTGAGATGTGCTGGATGTATAAAATACATGCTGGATTTTGAAGACAGTGTGAAAAAAAGAATGTAAAATATCTCAGTAATTTTTTTATATTGAGCATATTCTGAAGTGATAATATTTGGGGTATATTGGGTTAAATAAAATATGTTATTAAAATTAATTTGACTTGTTTCCTTTTACCTTTTTAATGTGGCTACCAGAAAATTTTAAACTACCTATGTGGCTCACACTGGCGGCTCACATTTTACTTCTATTGGTCAGTGTTGTCCTAGACATTGGATAAAGTCCCCAGAAATGAGCTTCCTAACTCCATCCAAAGTGGCCATTGTATCTCTGTAATCCATTCAAGCCAGGCACATCTCAAGAGCGGATGAGAGAATAGAAACTGGTGGCCCTGAAGGTCGTCTTCTTGGGACACCCATTGGGGTATTAGGGAAGTGCCAGTTTTAGGAGCTGGACTATGGGGCAGTTCTGTGTCCAGCGTGGTGACTCTTCTTTTGTCCCCCAAGTCTGACCTATAACCCTGTGTTGCTTTGCATTGAAGCTTCTCTCCCCAGACATGAACAATCTCATCCTGGAACTCGAGACCGCGCAGTCCCCTTGCGTGCAAGGGTCACTTGGCTCCCCTGGGCCTCCCGGCCCCCAGGTGGGTGCACTCCTCCAGACCCCATCCCGCTGTCTTCTGTTCAGAGCAGCGAAGCCTGCTGGGCAGAGCCTCTTAGGGCTGCTCCTCTTAGCATGATATGGGGGCTGTTTTTCCTTCTCCACCTCCAGAGCCACATGCATAGAACACTGGTTCTTCTCCAGGTGAATTCTGTCCGCCAGCCTTGACTTTCTTATCTCTGCCATGGGGACAATAAGTGCCCCTGCAGTACTGGATTTTGAGGGGGACCAAACGGAGTTCTGCCTAGATGGATGTGGTTATAATTATAGTTATCATCAGACAAACACTTGATGACAATGGGTTGCCCTTTATGTGACCATTGACCCCACCAGGGGACCCAGAGGAGCCTCCAAGCAGTGCAGGAAAGTGGAAGCAAACAGGAACTTATTATCCTGAGCTCATTTGGCCCCCAGATACTGCTCCCAAGCAGCCTACCTCTCCCCACCAAAGCTAAAGGGAAGAGTGAGGAGCAGACAAAATGCTAGAGAAAGGATTTTCTAGGCAAACAAGAGTACCCTCCAAAGACCCTGTCCCACAGACTCCCAGCTCCTTGGGCCTGACTGGGAGAGGGGCTCCATCGAGGAGGAACATTCCCTGGCCTGGGGTGCTGGGCCTTCCATGGAGAAAAGAAAGAGGGTACAGGAGCAGTCAGTTCCCCAAGTGCCTTAGGAATTATGTCACCCCTCCTGGGTAACCCCTCCTGTGGCTCCCATCATGGGAAGACTAAGAGACAAACTCCCACCCTGGATTACAAAGCTCCACATGAGGGGGCCCAGGCTGTATCTCTTATGTCATCTTGTACAACCAACATTGTCCACTGACACAGACACAGTGTGTCTCTTGAGTCCTCAAGCTCCCACGCTTTTTCCAGCCTTAGGTCCTTGGTGCTTGTGGCTCCGGCTGTTTGGAATGTTCTTCCCTCTAGGTTTTACCATGGCCAGCTCCTTTGTCACTAGGAACTCAGTTTACACGCCGCCTCCTCAGAAAGGCCTTCCTCAACCACTCAGGCTACGGTAGCCTTCTCCATCACTCTCCATCCCAATGACCTATTTTAATTCTCTGCATAATTTTCTCATGCTGTCATAGTTTTCTTATTTGGTTTTTTGTCCCTGGTCCCTTTGGTCTCCCCTCTGTGAAATGTAAGCTCCGTGGCAGGGGTTGGCAAACTATGGCCCCCGGGTCAAATCCAGCGGCAGCCTGTCTTTGTCGTCAAAGTTGTACTGTCTCTGGCTGCTTTTGCCCTACGAGGGCAGAGCCGAGTAGTTGTGACAGAGGTGCTGTATCAGAGGCATGGCCGAAGCCATTTACTGTCTGGCTCTTGACAGAAAGAGTCAATGAGAGCAGGGTCTATGAGAGCAGTGGCGTTGTCTATCTTGTACGTACTGTGTGCCCAGTCTACACCAGTGCATGGGTTGTAGAAGGTTCTCCATAAATATTTGTTGAGTGCAATAAAGAAAACAGGACGTTGAATGCCGAGTTGGCCAGAGGCTGCCACAGAGGAGCTAAGTCTGCAGAAAGACACGATGGGCGTCCTGAGGAACACGTCTCTGGAGGGTGTCTCTCTTCCCACCTCCCGCAGGCCACGCTCACAGCTCTCAGAGGGTGTGAGAACCCACAGACACGGGAAAGAGAGGGGCATTCTCTGCGGGCCTCAGACCAGCAGCTCTCCTGTCACACTTGCACATCCCTAAACTCACGCAATCTGCTTTGAGTCACATGGAGGCTGTGCTGCCCAACTCCGGGGGACTTTGCAGCCACCTCCGTTCCTTTAGAACACAGTGTGAGTGCGGTCACCACGCAAAGTGAGATCTGTGGACCAGCACCATAAGCCTCCTCTGGGAGCTTGTTAGAAATGCAGAATCTCATCCTGTCCCCACCACACACACCCCCGGCCAATCAGAATCTGCATTTTAACGAGATCCCTGAGTGAATCCCCTGCACGTCAGACTTTGAGAAGCACTGAGCTGGAACACAATGGCCTGGTAAAACAGTTCCAGGCCATTTCAAGAAAAGGATAAAACCAAGGCTTGGGAATCAGAAGAGAATGGGATGGAAACTCTCCTTCCTTCCCTCCCCAAAACAGAAGGAAAATAAACCAAAGACGGCAATTCCCAAATTTACCTGCACATTAGAATCTCCTGGAAGCTTCAAAAAGTCCTGAGGCCTGTGCCCCTCTCCCTGAGATTGGGATGTAGTTGGCCTGGGCTCTGGCCTGGTCTTTGGGACTTTTAAAAGATCCCCCAGGGGATTCTAACGTGCAGATACACTTGGGGACCACTGGCTGAGGGGGGTGTTTGTCATTTGGACAAGTCTCATAGAAATCCTATTTCAAACAGTCCTTGTATTAGGCCTGTTCACTTGCAGATCTTGGAGATGAAGTAGTGGCCTGGGGGGGTTGATGGATTTCCTCTCTGCTCTTCTGGGGCTTTTGGAAAACAGTTAGCCAGCTGAGCATTTCACAGGGGTGTGAGCAGAAAGCAGCTAGCTGTGTTCTGTTGTGGGTGTGCCAAGCTTTAGTGCAATGGGTGCTAGGGTCCCTGAGCTGGAGTCTGCCCCACTCCTGTGGCTGAGTAATGGGTCAAAAATGCACTATTTACTTGCCCACATTCTTAACATCTTAAAGAAAGAAGACTTTTTCTGTACCTGGTACCCAAAGATTGATTCACCCTGGGAATTTCTAAGTCGACTGCTTCTATGTGCAAAGCATAACTTCCCTCTTGTCAGGGCCCCAGGGAAGCTTGGTGAGAGGAGCAGAAAAGACATGAGTGGTGGTGAAGCATCTTTTTTTCAGCAGACAGCATTTCTTCAGGACTCTCTAGTTGCTCTCACCAAAGGCTCAGGATGTTCCTGGCAACACAAGCGTTCCAGGGAGAAAACTAAAATCACAGAGAGTAGACATGAGTGTGTTACAACCACTGGAAACACAGCTCAGAGACAGCTGGAAGAAGAGGAATAGAGAAGAGAAGAATGTGCTGGAAGGCACGAGAGGGTCCTTCATGGGGTCCCTGGAGCCCTCAGTTTACTTAGAGAAGGAGACTGCTATAGGAACCCTGTACCCCAAGACCCCCCTCCCAGTCCTGCCTCCCTCACCACCGGTCCTGCCTTGGTTTGATGTGTACTTTCTTCACTTCTTCCCTTGATTGTGTAGGGTCCACCGGGGCTTCCTGGCAAGACAGGACCAAAGGGAGAAAAGGTATGAGCCACTTTCGTCGACCTACCTCTTCTTGGTAATTCCAGCCTGTTTTCTGGGGGTGCCACTAAGAATTTTCTGGTTGATATTTTAAACCATGCGCTAATTCAGCCTTAGTGTGTGAGGCTAGGCTCCATGATGACTGGGCTGCTGCTGCAGGTATGGAGTCCCATTGGTGTATTTCAAGCTGGCCCAGTGAGATGGCAGGGATGCTGTGAGTGGCCAAGTGACCAAGCCACATGATCATGCCCAGTCATCAGCCTTACCAAGCCCTCTGCTTCCAGAACTTCTCTTCCAAAGCAGCCTCGGCTTACCCGTCTTCTCCATCCACAGGGGGAGCTTGGCCGACCAGGAAGGAAGGTATGGTCCATGCTGTTCTGTGCTCCATGTGTATGTGTGTATGTGCACTCCTAGGGGTGGGGGAGCTACCAATGTGCTTTCACAGCCCCCAGTACCCAAGTGGACAATGATGGCACTGCCATCCTGATGTTGACAGTAGCAGCCTTGCTGTCTCTGCCCACTCCTTCATTTGGAAGCTGAAGCCTGCTCATGACTTCTTCCAGAGGCTGCCAAGCCTGGCCAAATTTCCCCCAGTCTCTGATCATCTCACCCTGCCATCCATCAGAGAAACCCCTCAAGGCCCCAGCCAGCGGCACAAAATGACTCTCACTGTCTGTTTGATTAAACTGGAATAAAGTACCAAACAGATAGAAACAAATGGCTTTTGCTTTTTGGCCCAGCTGGAATAAATGGGAGTTGCTTAAGGTTGCAAGGACTCTGAGTGAACCAAACACATGTTATCAAGACTCTCCTTTGTGTCAGGAAGGAGTAAACCAGCAACCACTCGCTACAGTCAATAGATACTGGAAGTGAAATTCTGGGTCTTGGTGGTAGAAAGAGATACAAAAATTTGCCCAAGAAAGATGTTTATAGTTCTAAATATAAATTACTATTTTTCTGGTTAAGTTTTATACAAATGGTTTCACTATCAATAAGAGCCTCAAACAGACCTTTTCAAGGCAAAGTTACAGCCCTTTAGGATACAAATGACAACTCCAGCCAAGGCACAGTGGCTATTTGAAGGGCTGGGCTGGAAGGGATTCTGGTATGGTTTCCATGCTCAGAACTAACGAGGGCCATAATTGATAAGTGATGTCTGCCATGAATGTGGGTGGCAAGAGTAGAAATGAATACACATACCAGCATTGTGATCTCTAGTTTAGGGGCTAAGCCTTCCACATGTCTAGCTAGGCCTACTGTGAAATTAGCCAGTGGGTGCAGAGGTCAGGATAGCCCCAAATCCCTGCTCCTAATCTCTTGCAGTGTGCACTCTCCCATAGCCCCTGGCTTAGGTTGGGTTCCTTGGAAGCAGAGACAGAGATGGCACATGCCATGTGCAAGTGAATTAATTATTAAGGGAGCTCTCTCAAGAGGAGCCTGAGAGGAGGGGGGAGCCGGATGAGGTGGGGGAAGAAGCCCAGCATGGATGTGGTATCAGGTGATATCCAGCTTCAGCCTCATCCCTAGGACAGCTTGGGAGTGTGAATTGCACCATACAGTTTATCCTGCCTTGAGGTAAGGGGGCTGGGCTATTAGCTGCAGGAAGGGGAAGTACATAAATTGCTGGGCAACCCCAATTGCCCACAGGCAAACTCCACAGTTGCAGGTTGCAGGAATGAGCTGTAGAAGAAAGGAAGGTAGCCGCTGTGGGGTGGGCATGCCGAGCAGGTGAAAAATATCTAAAGGGAGTACCCACAGCATCTGCTACTGCTGCCCAAACATAATCCTATCCCATTGTGCACCGCACCCTTGGGGTGAAACTATTGGAATTCAGGGGACATTTGTGTGAGTGTGGGTGAGTGGAGGTGATAAATATTGAAAAACCAAGAAGTTTAGAATCCCTTCCTTACCACTTTCCATTTCTTGAGTAGAATAAGATTTTGTGTGTAGACAATGTGACACCAAGGGATTTAATTTATACCTAAGTGACTCAACTCTTTAAGCTACCAGTCTTTGGAGGTTGGGGATGGGAGTCCTGGGGGCCGTTCTTAGAGGCTCCATACTCCCCTCTGGGCCCCAGAGATAAATCCTACTTCCTGGAAGGAGGGAAACAAACCCAGTTGTCTTGACTTTTGTCTTTCGTCTTTGAAGGGAAGACCTGGCCCCCCGGGTGTTCCTGGCATGCCTGGGCCTGTCGGCTGGCCTGGCCCCGAAGGACCCAGGGTAAGTGGCAAGCTCTCAGGGCTCATATGGTATCAGAGCGTGAGGAGAGAAGATGGCAGCTCCCCTGGCCCCTGGTACGTAGTCAGTGAAACTCACTTCCTCAAGAGAGGGGGAAAGAAGAGAACACGAGGACTGCCCAGAGGTCTCCAAACACTTCCTCCTTCACTTGGGCTGCAAGACCTTGGTTAGTCCAACAGCTCAGACCCTGTGGGAGGAGAAATAAGAGGCTGCTCCCCTCTTTCACAGGGTCCCTGGTTCTCCTTTGTCCTGTGAGCATGCAACTCTTTGATTTCCCTGAGATGACCCAGTAGGGGCTGGCGTCTGGGAAGCTGTTGGCCTGCTGTGTTGATTTGGCAGGGGGCGGAGGGTTGAGGGGACGGGCGTTGGCTGGCTGGAACAACTGAAATCCTACATTCAGAGAGAGATTGCCAAGTGCTGATGAAATCTCCTTCCTCAGGCAAGTTATGGATAGCTAACATCCACACCTGTGCCTTTGTTTATGTTCTTCTCACTGTTGGTCATAGACTATTGGGTGCACAGGCTGTGACTTGGAAATGTGACCTGTAGAAGTCGGGAGGTGGGCCAGAGAATGTCACTTTCTGCTCTGATTTGCTTACTGGTTGTATTTATTATGGGAATAGAAGGTTGTGTTTCCAGTCCCCTTAGGAAAAGTCCCAAGGATATTTCTATAAAAATCTACTGTATGTAGCTGAGGTGTCCAATATGGTAGCCACTCACCATATGTGACTTTCAAGCCCTTGAAATGTGGCTAGTGCAACTAAGGAACTGAATTCTTAAATGGTAATTAATTTAAATTTGAATTTTAAAACTTTCACTCAGTTCAGTTGGGTTTGCAAATGTGTAGGTGTGTTAGGAGCAACTTGAGTGTGTGAACCTGCTTGGCTGCAAACCTAGGCTGAGAGTACAGGAGATGTCTGAAAGCCCCACCCTATGCAACGAGCAAAGCGGGTAGTTTGTTTGGGTGCTGTCACCTTGTTCTCTGAGGCTCCAGTGCCACCACACTCTCTCTCCCACCATCTCGCAACCCTCTCTAGGAAAAGATCAAGCTTCAGTCCACTCACAACATCTTAGTGAGCATTCAGTTTGGGGATCTGATCCCCTTGGGGCAATTTCATTTTATATTTAATCTCAAATACCAGAATGAAGTGTGGATCGTGGAGCCTTGGGCCCCTGGGAGTGAGCAAGGGGCATTTGGGGACTTCAGATTCACAAACAAGCCCCAATGTCCCCAGTTCCATCCCAATCTTGCCCTGACTCTCCTGGTTCATTTTCATCACTGTAGGTCTTTTTTTTCCTCTTCTTCTTCTAATTCCCACAGGGTGAAAAAGGTGACCTGGGTATGACGGGCTTGCCAGGGTCAAGAGGACCAATGGGCTCCAAGGTCAGTGTGTGGTCCAGATGGACATTCCCAGGTCTTCTCACTAAGGCCCTGGAGCAGCTGCTATCTACAAAGACAGGGACTGGGTGGGGCTGCCATCCTGGGCTGGGGAAGGTCACAGACGTTGGAGAGTCTGGAAAGCCAGAGTGCTTGTCTTTACCAGCCCTTTGGGGGATGTCATGCCCAGGGATCCAGGAGCATAAGGATGCCATTCCTGCTGTTCTCCTGGGCAGCAAGGGTCAAGCCTCTGGACAACAAAGCAGATGGAAACCTTTGTTCAGGCCTTTGCAGGGGTAAGACAAGTAATGTTGTTTTTCGGCCTGGTGTACACACAGTCCTCAGGGACATCTTTGTGTTTACTGCTGCAACCCCCGTAAAACTTCCAGGGAATGTGGAGACACATGGCATCACTGCATTCAGGAATTCCTTCCACTCTTGCACCAAACCCAAAGGTCATACAGGGCTGGTTGTAAATGCACTTTCTGCTTTTTTTTAGGGCTACCCTGGATCCAGAGGGGAAAAGGTTAGTGCTTGTCTCTGAGGGCTTCCCAGAACCTGGTCTGGGTTATGGGCTCCGGGGTCAGTGATGAGCAGAGAATGGCTGAGGTCTCTCTTTAGTCAGCGACTGCAGCAACCGGTCCTAGATAGTCCCCTGTCCCTTGTCAGTGGGCTGAGAGAGAAGCGAGGGGCCTCCTGAGGCAGGGCAAGTGGCTTAGGGAGGAGCTCCCAATGGAGGTAGGTGCCCCTCGCGTGGAGCAGATGAGCGAGTGAAGGTTGTGCCAGGTGGAGAATGAACGCAGCTTGCATGGGAGTGCTGGAGGACGGTGGCCAACGTGTGTCTTCAGACCAAGCTTCCACCTCACAACCTTCTCATCGGTCAACAACCAAACCAAACCAAACCAAAACACAGCCAGAACCTGGGGACAAATTTCTTATAGGAGGAGAGAGGATCTGGGACCCAGAATTTATGTGAGTTGTCCTTTATTAATGCAAGAGGTCTTTGGGGTCCAAATAGAAGGTAGATCACAAAGCATTCCTTCCCCGGGCAAGTCACCTAAGGTCTGAGCCTGTTTCTTTGCCTGTGAAATGAGGGTGTCAGCTTAGGGACCTTTCAGTTGGAAAGGCTCCACTTTTCCCCCATGCTATTAACTGATTGACTCTCTCCTGTGGTTTCCTCCTAGGGATCCAGAGGTGAAAGGGGTGACTTGGGTCCCAAAGGAGAAAAGGTAATGGCCACTGCATAGAGATGATCAACTACACAAGTGACTGGCTGCCAGGGCTCCATCCTGAAAATGACCCGGCTCTTCCACAGCCCTCGCCCACGTTCTTTCAGAGGCGTTCACTGTATTTGTTGCTCTCTTTACAGGGTTTCCCGGGATTTCCTGGAATGTTGGGGCAGAAAGTAAGTACCTAGAAATCGTAAAAATAGGCCTCCGTAACAAATTAGACCCTCCAAGCACAGCAAAAAGAGGTCTGCCGCTCTGTCCATGAGGCCAGGAAACTGGTTTTCACCGTGGAAGATTCTGCTTTGAAAGAGAAGCAAGCTGCTAAACATGCTGGTGAGAGGGTGCAGGATGGTCTGAGACCTCCCTCCAGTTCAGTGGGAGGGAAAGGACGCCCATCTAGGTGGAGAGAGCCCCTTCTTTGCATTTCCTACCTCTGGGAGGGCCATGGTAATGTTCAAAAGCAGAACGCGTTATGACGAGGGACACAGATCTCAGCTGCGGTGGTCAAGGGTCCCAGTGAGAGGCGCAGGTACCTTTGGCTTAATGCCACTGCTCACTACACCCAGCTCAGCGCTCCTGCACGGGTGCCACACGTACTGCCAGAGGTACTCAGGGTCATTTTAGCTGAGTGACAGCAAACATTTTTTATTTTGATAGTTAAATATTTAGTGGGATTTCATGGACATCTTGTTTGGGACAAGGCTTAATTTAAAAAAGGAGTTAATTCAGTTGGTTTAAAGAAAAGCATTCAGTAAATAACAGAGTAGTGTGCAGATATGACAAAAATTGTGGAGGTGGCAATTGACTGGTAGATTTTTTTGAAACTTATCCTTACGGTTAAGTTCTGGGGAAGAGGAAGAGGAGGCTGGTGAGGGGAGATGTCAGAGAATAAAGAGAGAGAGTGCATAAATGCCGCTGAGCACAGCTCCTGATCTAACATCGGAACGGTGGCTCCTTGTACTGTAAGGCATTGACACGGGAAACTGTTATTTATTTTTTCTTTTTTTTAATTTCTTTTCTTTTCTTTTTTTTTTTTTTGAGAAAGACTAGCCCTAAGCTAACATCTACCAATCCTCCTCCTTTTGCTGAGGAAGCCTGGCCCTGAGCTAACATCCGTGCCCATCTTCCTCTACTTTATACGTGGACAACCACCACAGCATGGCTCGACAAGCGGTGCCATGTCGGAATGCAGGATCCGAAACTGCTGCACCCCGGGCCGCCAAAGTGGAACGTGCGCACTTAACCACTGCGCCACCGGGCCAGCCCCCGGGAAACTGTTATTTTTACCTTGGCCTCCAAGCATAATATTCTTCAAACATGCAAATGGGATGCTTTCTTAGAATTCTAAGTTTTTTTCAAGTTCGCCTTAATGTTTTATTTTCCAAATTTGAATAAACAATTTTATCTGACCTTCTCCCAGTCAGCAGAGCATATTTAAACAATTTCAATCATCTGACATTAATTTATTATAGTTTATAACTGTCTTAAGCTGTCAAAAACGCTGCTCCTTCTCCCCTAGGTGGAGAGTTGGATTAAAAATAAATAGATTAATTATATAAACAAGTTAAAGGAAACGTTAAGAGAGAAAAAATAATTTTATCTTAAAATATTTAGGTTAGGTTTTCATTCAGAGCAACAGTGAATATCAAAGTATAATAAATTACTGTAAAATTAAATATGACAGCTTCTCTGGTCTCTGCACCATTTGCTAGACTTGCCATCTAGAGTTCTCTTTCCCTTTCATGGCAGGCTGATTTAAGACAGAGCTGATATGATAACCGTAATTAGGTCTTAGGAGAGAAATTAGATCAAGAAATTACTGGCTGCTTCCAGCTGATGAAGAGAAGGGCCACACTTCCTTCGAACAATCTTTTCCAAAATATGATACTGTTATGCTGCTGTTTGCTCCCAGCCAAACAAGACACCCTTTGGCCCGTTCTAAACAGCCGGGGAAAATTGTGCAAACATCTCCATGGCCACGTAGACTCCATCCTATCCTCTCACTCTCTCATTGCCTGGAATACTGAAGGACATGACAGGTTGGAAAGAAAGCATAGGTTTAAGGACAATTCTGCTTGAGGCAAGATATTGGTAGGTTGGGTAGGGACAAATTTGTTACATTAGCTGAGCCAACGGATAACTTCAGAGCTTTATGCTTGAGGCTTACTGTATATTGGTGTTCCCTGGAATTTTCCATTGTGTTATACCTCTTCTGACCTCCGTGTGAAAAGCTGTTGCAGTGTTTATTGTTTTCCCCGAGTGGCTGGGACAGCTCTTCATGGCCACTGGCTGCTGACTAACAGAAACTCTCATAGTTGCTGTTGCTAAACTTAGCTTGTTGGCAGTGCATTCTGGGCCATGGAGGGATTACTGGAGGTAGGGATGATGCCCTGTGGGTTCATGATCCAAAGAAACAGCAAGTGGGCCTGGAATCCTAGAAGAACATGGGGAGAAAGGAAAAAAAACTAAAAAGGAGCCGTGAGTTTTATGAAAGAGCAAACAAACCATGGAATTCTAAAGTTGGTGTGTGTGGTTCTGATAGTTCAAAATAGGGCTTTTCAATTAGGACTATTGTGTACATAGCTTCCCAGGCCTTTTACAATAATTATATTGAGTATTTGAACGTATGTCTGGAACATCTCTCCCCAAAAGAGTTTTCATCTAAATCAAATGGAAGTGAGCTGGAACCCAAAGCAATTTTTACTGAAGAGTGGGAAAATATACAACCCTAAGTAAAGCTCATTACATGAGCAGGAACTTTGGGAAGTTCCTGCTCATATAGTTTCAAAACTGTGTCCAATCATTCAAAAACCCATAGATTTTAATTTATGCTACAAAAAACACTGAAACACAGCATAAAATTTCAACTAAAAGTGAAAGCATTTTTCCCTAGCAGCTTGTGGTGTCACAGGCACATGTGTGACTGAAATGCAGGGGCCTCCCACTTTGGCCATTCTGGAGGGTGACTTGGGACAACAAAATATGTGGTGCTGGGAGCTGGCTTTCTCAGATAATGTCACCCACCCAGGGTAACCTTCTCCTTTCCTTCTTCTTCCTTGAGAATCCTATCTGCCTTTCACATGACCTCATCACTTTCCCAGTCTCCCAGAGCAGCCCACTTGGAAGGGATTTGGAGCCATCAAGTACACTGCCCTCGTGGCCAATGATTGGATAGACCTGTAGAGATGTACCTGCTCCACGTACCCTAATTCCTGTCTTGCATCTCTTTCTTCCTTCCAGGGTGAAATGGGTCCAAAGGGTGAGCCTGGGATAGCAGGACACCGGGGACCCACAGGAAGACCAGGAAAACGAGGCAAGCAGGTAACCATCCCAGGGCTCACACACCTATGCGGTCAGACCCTCCTGGCCTGTGGTGAGGCAGCCGGGTGGAGTCTATCAGAGATGTTCCATAAAGCCAGTCTCCAGCATCCTCTGGGCTGATGGGCAGAAGCAACATCACTTTGAGGACCTCATGGCTTCTCTAGGCTGGCCATAGTTTGAGGAGGATGGGATAGGATGCTCTGATCCAACTCTGTCCAAGGCTAGAAGCAAGAGTGGATCTTTGGATCATAAGAACAGATCTATCTTGACTAAAGCAACTGGGATGGAAACCAAATCTGGTCATTTACCCAGAACACCTGCTTTTTGCCTCAATGCCCCAGACACAAATGGAGTTTTGGAGAACAGCGCAGATATTTCCCTGCTGTTGAAGGGTCTTCTGGGTCTCAACAGTAGTGTGGTTTTCCCCACTCAGGATCCCAATTTGTAAGTGATCCACTTTATTGGCACTATTAAAGGGTTGGGGAAATTTTTCATTCAGAATTCCCCCTGGTAGCAGGCTCTCATGTCAAACCATGTGATATGAGACGGAGAGGAAGGATGAAGGTACATTTGCTTTGGTTGGCTTAGAGCCACCTGAGGGCTCAGAGAAACCTCTCATCTTTGTCCCCATGGACAGTCTTTCCAGAGAGATGTGCCCTTCTATGTGTTTGGTTGTCAGTTTGTTGGCTTTTTACCTCCTTTCTCATTATAAATGTAATATATGATCATTACAGAAAACTTGGAAAATTCACAAAAATAGGAGGGAAATCATCTAAAGACCTAAGACCCAAGACCCAAGCAGAACCACTGTTACCATTTTGATATATTTGTTTTGAGTATTGTTTCTTTTGTGAACTTTCTAGTGTTTTGTTTCTTTGATATCCAATATAGTTATTACATCCTAAATTTTTAACTTAAAATCACTATCTACACATTTTTGCTTGTTACTTCAGATATTCATTAAGAATTTTTAAGTAACTTTTATAAATGTCTGCATCAGATTTTAGTAAATGAGTAAGCAATAGATTGTTTGGACATGAGCGACCTAACCAAGTTATATATGATGCTGAGAGGCAAATATCTTTGGGCACAAAACTTTTTCCATTCTGATATTTCCATTCTTTTCTTAGGCTAGATCCCTGGTTCTCAAACTTTAGCTTACATCAGAATCACCTGAGGGGGCTGCTTAAATACAGATTCCTTGCCTCTCATTGTCCCCAATGCCTAGGCCTTACTTTCAAAAGATTCTGGTATAATTGACCCGGATCTTTAGCATGGGTTGTTATTTTTTTATTTTTATTTTTTGCTGAGGAAGATTAGCCCTGACCTAACATCTGTGACAACATTCCTCCACTTTTATATGTGGGTCGCCTGCCACAGCACCGCTGACAAGTGGTGTAGGTCTATGCCTGGGATCCGAACCCATGAACCCAGCCCACCAATGTGGAGCGTGCCAAACTTAACCACTATGCCATGGCCAGCCCCAGGTTGTTATTTTATTTTTAAAGCTCTCCATGTGATTCTAATATGCAGCTAGGGTTTGGAACCATGAAGCCAATTCTGGTCTTTTCCAAGAGAATTTAGGAATGACACAGGCTCCAACCTGGATAACTCAGATTCTACAATCACTTTTGAAGTCACAAGATGCCAGTTCAATTTTCAAAGTTTTACAATGGGTGGCATGATCATGGCTTTACAATGATGCCACAGAGAGCAATTTCCTAAGGACTAGGCTTAGAAAAATAAGGAAAAAAGGGAAATCTTTTTCCTAAAATCATTTTCTTCCCTACTGCTGATTTCCATCCAGAACTTTTTACGCCTGGGGTTCAAGAAGCCTGTTGCTTCTATCCTCTAGTTCTTTTCTTGGGCAGTGTTTGCCTTTTCCTGGTGAGGACTGAAGCCAAGAAGGCTATTTCTTGACCCTGCTGAGAGTGATTTGGTTGCAACAAGCTTAAAAATGACGCCAGAACATGTCTGGGAGCTCAGAGAAGTTAGGGAAACGAGCTGATCCTTTCTAGAAGATGTTATAAACCACCTAAGTGTTCTCCAAACCCTCAGTGCCTTTCCAGTCAGCAGATACTTGAGTTGTTGGCCTCGGAAGCCTGCTATGGTACTTTCTTTTTATCGTGAATTAATTTCCTAGTGGAATCTTACATGTCGTGTGTTTGTTGGGCCAGTGGTGCTGAGAGTTTCTGGAGGTTATTATAAGTCAATCTAAACCCTGGAAGCAGAAATCCAGAAGGGACTTCAGGAGGTTAGGATTTCAGAGCCGGAGGATTTTAGAGACCAGCTCATCCAATTCCCTCCATTTGGTTAAAAGAACTCTGAGGACCAGGGAAGTGGAGTGGCCGGCCCAGGACCCTCAGCTAAGCCACTTCCAGGTCAGGATTAGAACTTAGGGAGTTGAGACCTGCTTTTCCCCACAACTCATCATCTCTCCACCTGCTTCATGCTTCGGGACCTGCCTTCAAGTAGATCCAAGACAGTAGCTCTTGACTTTACTACAAAACCTTTAGTTAAAAAGACAGAGCAGCCTCCTTGAAAGGGATCATAGGCTTTGTGGCAATAAAGGAATAAAGAATGCTTTTCCTGGAAAGTGCTGCTCGGTGAGTTCTGCTCATAGAGACATGGGTTGTTCTGAGTAGGTGACCCGTTAAGCAGAATATTCCATTACTGCTGGTGTCAGAATTAAGGAGCATTTCCAGCTCCTTCAAGCTGTGCACTTCCTGTGCTCATAGCCAGCTGACATGGCTGTTAGAAAAACAAGCCTTAACTGTGGCTATATTAAGATGGTGTGACTTCCTTTGCCATTCTGGGACCCGTCTTGGTTACTTCAAGGAATGCTTCAGCTTGGGCAAAGGCTTAAGAACTCCCTCCACCAGGATGAAATTGGAAACAAACTCTGACCTCACAGGTCCCATATTAAGAATTTAGGAACTCCTTGGACATTGCTGAGAGAGCCCCCAGGGCCATGTTGACAAGGCAGCAGGTCACATGTCACCGTTGTGATTGGAAGGAGTGCCCAGTATGCCTGCTTCCCAGACTTGGGGAAGATTATGTTTCATCACGGGGGCAAGCCTGCCAAGACACAAGTGTAGAAGAGGGATCCAGGCCAAAGATGTCGGGCATCAATCACTGTCCTGGTTAGGCCTGGGGCAAGAGCAGACAACTAGCAAATTGTTTGGAGAAAGAACCTACAGCACGCACCAGCCTTAGTTTCTGGGGTTATTCTTAGGGGCAGCCCTGAGAAGCAAATGTTTGCTCTTGACCCTCCCACACAGGCAGCAAAGAGGACACCCCATGTGGAATGGCTATTGCTGCAGGTATGCCTCTCTTTAAGAAACCAGGACTTTTCTAAACATGTGAAAAAGTTGCAACCAAGCCGGTTGCTATGATAATCAGCTTGCCCCACATAGCCCTTGGTTCTGTGCAAGCTGCTTTTCCCCCTCTGAGATCTTTGTTAGCCTCACAACAAACCTATGCATGTATATGTTTACTGTCTCCATTTTACAGATGAGAAAACTCAGGCACAAAACAGTGACATGAGTTAGCCAGGATCTCATGGCCAAGGTGAAAACCCAGATCTCCTGACTTATAGCTCAACAACACTGCTTCCTTTTTGTGTTTTCAGCTTCTTCCTCCTCCCTCATTTAACCTGAGGAAGAGAGGTCAACAAGACAGATTCCAGCCCACAGGGAGTCTCGTGAGGAAACATTGATGAAATGAGCACATACATGATAGTGTAGTTATGATCTGGATTAAATGCCATGAAGGAGAAGGGCCACGTTCTGAGAGGCTGTGATGGGGAGGACTGGCTCAGTCTAGCAAGGTTGGGGAAGGCTTTGCTGCAGTACGTTTTAGCTGAGAACTGAAGGATGCGGGGAGTTAACTAGGCAGAGCGGAGGGGAGAGGAGTTTGGGGGAGTGAGAAGGGTCTTGAGGAGGGAAATAAAAGGCACGGTGCTCTTGAAGACCAAAAACACTAAAAGGCTGGCCAGGATGAGACTGGAAAGCCCAGTCATGTGGGGCTTTGTAGACTGAAGTAAGGAGCTGAGTCTTTATCCTGAGAACAATGGGAAGTCATTGGGTGGAAACAGCTCTTGTGAGGAAATAGAAATGGTCCTGACGAGCAGGCAGAAGGCCTGAGTTCTAGGCCCGACTCTGCCGCCTCCATGCTAGGTGAGTGGCAAAAAGCCCTGCTCTTTTCTGAGTCTCTGTTTCCTCATCTACCCAGTGAGAGAGTGGGTTGGGTTGGTTCCTTGAGCTGCCATGTGCCATGTTTCCAGGATGGAGCAAGAAGTAATGTCTGCCAACTTGCAACCATCACAGTCTCAAATGTCGCTTGCCCTGAGCTTTTTAGGAGCTTGGTGGTCAAGAGCTCTGGGGCCGCATCCTGCCCTGGGCTCTTACTCCAAAGTGCAGGGTGGCCCCTGATTTAGAGATAAATGGGGCAGGAAGTTGCCGTGTCATGCTGTCATAACGGGCTCTGCCTTTCTCTCTGTCAGGGGCAGAAGGGAGATAGTGGAGTTGTGGGACCACCAGGCAAGCCTGGGCCTTCTGGTCTTCCTGGCCGTCCAGGTCCCCCAGGACCCCCGGGCCCCCCATCGGCAGGTAAGAGCTGCCCTGCTTCACTGGACCTACAGTGTCACCCTTCTGGCCAGCCTCCCTGGAGAGGGTGCAGGAGATGCCAGCAGAGGGCTGCCTTATGTTTTGAGTTAGAAACTGCCTGAGGTACTTGGATGTATTTATAATTTCTCCACAACTTGGCTCATTCAACTTTTACACAAAAGAGATAAACATCATTCTGGCTTTGTTTTAGCATTTTAGAGAACAAATCGGGGAGAGAAAAAAAGAATTACATTGGTGATGTCATTTATCCTTTAAGTGAAAAAAACCAGACACATATTTCATCATCTAACACCTTTTTCTAGAGAAACATTTCATGGTTCCAAGCAATTCTCTTAACCCTAGAAGTAAAGATGACATTGCAAATGTTTTAATCTTACACAGTGTTATGAAAGAGTTCCTATTGATTTGCACTGAATATAGAAAGAAATCACTAAAAAAAATCCAAGTCCACCATTGAAGGGGGCAAAGCCACACCCTAACTCTGTTTCCCTTTGTTTAATTTGATGAGCTGAGCCCTTTATTTATTTTGCTCCTGTGTAAGCTCAAAGTAAGCCCTTTCCTAGCACAACGTCTATATAAACACAGCCTCTCTAGGTCCAAGAAGATTGTTTACTGACTGTGCAAGATGCTTTGTCCTCAGTTATACAAAAGGAATCAAAACAGGTTTTATTCTAATTTTTTTAAAGAAAATGAAGGCATATTAAAATTCTACAGTGCACTTCTTTCCCTCTATGTTTATGGGAATATATTTGCAACCACATCATGGGGTGGGTTAAGAAGTGTCATTCTTTTGTTAGATCCTTTAAACCAAGTTAAAGTTGGCTCTGAGATTCCACCTGCCAGGATGCCAGGAAAGCTCAACCTCAGGCCTTATTGGGGTTCTCTTCAACCCTTCAATGGCCATGACAGGACTGGGCAAGGATCCTGGGGAATTATGGCAGAAAAAAATCAGGAATTCCCTCCAACCTTTCATCTACCCTGTCCACCTCTGAAATGCCTGTCGTCTGAGGCCATGTGGTTCTTGGGTGCCTGGTGACCACCATCCTCATGCAATGCTTGGGTATCGGAACATTTCCAAGGCTGGAAGTCCTGGTCCCCAAGGTTCAGTTTCCCAAGAAGTTCCCCACAACCATTCCTTCTGAGGACCTTATCCCTTCTCCAGGTTACAGGGGTCCCTGTCTGGGGTGGTCCCTCTTCTTCCAGCCTCCAGCCCCCTCCCTCCTCACGCTCCTCATACAGTGCCACCCCTCTTAGGAGATTTTCTCTTCTGAGAACGAAGATGGAAAGGCAGAAGGCTCAGATAGTACCTGTTTTAAGTAAGGGCAAGAAAGCACAAAGCTTTGCTACCTCCTTGAAAATGGGAGAGGAAGATATACTGGGAAAACAAACGTCAGCTAGCATCCCAATAAGTTATCTTGCCACATCTGTTTCTATTTTGTTAAGGGAACTAGATTTGAGATGCAGCCTAGGCCGTGTGTCCGTCCTTCATAACCTGTTTCTGTGAGTTGAATAGATGATCTTGTTGGGGGTCCTTCCAACTAGTACTCACCCTCCTTGGTCCTGGCATGCGTACCATTCCTCTTGAGCCCCATGACCATGAGCTGCAAGCCCCAGAGACTGAGAGCATGGCCTGAGCCTAGGTTTTGCCTTTAGAAGGGACTCTCTTGGCCCTCGGGGTACTTAGGGGCTTACAAAACTGAGGAGTAGCCAGAGGGTATGAGGGGAAGATGCATCGGGAGGTCCTTGGCAAACTAAGACCTTACTGGTCTCCCTGTGCGTATCAATTTGTAAAGGCCAGCCCTCTTCTGCTTTGAATCCTGGTCCCACTCTGGGACCTGGAGTAGGGGGAGCAGGGTAGGGCCTGGAGACCTCCGCAGGTCACTAAACGCCTACTGTTCTGTCTTGTCTGTCTCTGGTGGATTACAGCCCCATCCCTTTAGCAGGTCCAGCGTAGTCCTATTTTCTCTCCTTGGTCCTTCTCCCCTAGCACGTGTCCCCTTCCCGTGCACCACTCCATCCCCCCCAGATCCCAGCCAGACCGCCTTCTGCCCTCCCGCAGACATGCTGTTGTCTGCAGAGCTAGAACATGTTCCCACAGTTTCTCAGGGTCCACGTGGCCTGGAATGGTGTTCCTCTCATCCTCTTGACCACTCAACAAAATCCTCTCCTTCCTTCAAAGCCCTCTCTTCACTAAGGCCTTCATTGGTCCCTAACGGATGGCTCTCCCTCCCTGGGGCCCCAGTGGTACATGGCCTCTCTGCTCTGGCCCCTCCAGTGGCAACTTTCCTGCAGGTGTGTTTCATCTTCCTTTTGGATGGCAAGTCCTTGAGGCAGGGTCTGTGGCTGCGTCAGCTTCGCATCCCCACAGCACTGGCAGGTGGGACAGCTGGGCCCGGACCCTACAGGTGCTCACTGGGCTGCTATGGCCCTCAGTCTGTCCCACCTGGGTTATTGCACAGCCGCCGAGCACAACGCGGCCATCTCTTTGATTGATATCTCCTCTCTGCCTTCCTTTGACTCACTTCCTTTCTGAGGAGCCTCCTGGAGTGAGGCAGCTAAAGAAAATGGAGCAATCATCCTGCTCTGTGGAAATGATTTTTGGGAGCTGGGGAGGGAAAGGGGGGTGCAGTTTAAAAGAGACCTTCCCCATGCCTGGGACCAGTCAGATGATCATCAAGAGTTGGAACAGGCCCCCAGAGCAATTCCTGAAACTACTTTTAAGAGTCTGATAAAAGTCCTAAACCCACTCTCAGGGAAAAAAACTGTGTCTACCTACATCCAAGATTCTGCACACTGCTTCCCAGAGTTTCAAACGCCTGGGAAGACCCTCAGGCTCTGTGCACGGTGGGTTAAGCTCCCTGGTCTAGTCCAGTCCTCCCTTTGTAAATAATAACTTTGAGCCTCAGAGAGAAGTGACTTCCCAAGGTCACAGAGCCGACTGGTGGCCACACCTGGTCAAAAATCAGTCTGTGACTCCTGGTCCCCTTTCCCCTCAGCCATGCAGCTGCTGCAGGGGCAGAGTGGGAGCTGGGGGTGGCATGGAGATGGTTCTGTGGTTCCTCTGCCTTCTCCCAGTTTCCCCTCTCAGACCTGCTCCTCCTGCGGCAGCCAGTGGAGATGGGAGGATCCTTGGCAAAGATGGAGAGCAGGGTCCTCTGGCTGCAGGGGATGGTGGAAAGGCCAGGCCAGGCCCACGGGATGAGCTCCAGGAGGCCGAGGTGGGGAAGTTCGGGTTGCTGTGCCCTTCAGTGCTGCCTGGCAGGAAACAGGCAGGGGTAACAAATGCCCTCTGACAGCTGGGAGGAAGCAGCAGGGAAACTGCAGCGGTGGCAGGAAGCAGGCTCCCTGCCGTGTCCTGTCGTGCTTTCGGGAGGCTGCCTTTGGCTCTGGTGCCTGGTGCTGTGGGGCGGGATGGTGCTGGGGGAGGTGGCGAGGGTGGGAGCTTTTTATCACCCAAGTTACAGAGAAAGAGGGGCTGGGGGGCAGGGGAGGGAATGAAGGCAATATGCCTTTAGGATGCAATTTGCAATAAACGAATTACAAATTTGGCTGAGTCCTTCCTGCACCCAGACAGGGTATAAGTGAATCAACGTGGTACCTGGGAATTGCCAGCTTCCTGCAAGCATCAATATTCTTGTATGTTTGTCTTTTGAACGGCATAGTGTTAAGTCAAACATGAATTCAGACCTCAGTCTCACCACTAATGGGCTGGATAATGGGACAAACTCTCCATTCTCTCCAAGCCCATGGTTCTAGAGGAGTCGCTGGGGTCACAGAGCCTGCTGGAAGGCTGCTCCGGTGCCACTCTCCGGTCCTTGGCTACAGAGCATTGCCACCTCTGTTTCCCTGGGTGCTTAATTACCCAGAATATTCCTGGGCTGGTGAAGTCTCTGTCTCTCCGGGCACTGCTGAAAATATCAGAACACAAGACTGGAGCTCCTCCCACACGATTGTGTTCACTTTTCTTGTTAGAACGAACAACCGTAACTTGGTAGATGTTGGCAGACCTCCCTTCCCTCAGGCCAGCAGCATTCTGATCTTGGACATACCTGTCCACGAGCCCACGAAGGCTCAGGCTGTGGGGGTCTTCGCACTGGGGTCTCCTCCTCCAGCTGCAGCTGCTTCCCTGGGGTCCTGAACAGACGTCTCCCCTGGGCTCATTTTATTTCCTGCCCTTCTGTGATCTGCAAACGGTGTCCCCAGTTGCTGGCTGCCCCGGATGTTATACAACCTGAAACCCATGGCCGGCTGGTCTCTAGACTCCCCTTATTTTCCCAGGAGGAGAGGTGCTTACTTATTTCCTTTTTCAGTCCCCATCGTTTCCTCTTTCCTCTCCTCCAGTGGATGGCTCTCACTCTAGCACTCTTCTGCCAACCAGAGTGTCACTTCTAGCCTTTTCCGAAGACCTTTTCTTTCCAGTTAGTCTGCATTCATTCATTCAATCATCAAACATGTACCAGGCCCCTACTGTGTGTCAAGCCCTGGTGAATGAAAAAAGGCACCAAGCCTGCCCTTGTGGAACTTATGTCATACGGGGGAGATGGAGCTTGATCCATAACCTCACAATATGCAGAATCGCAGAGAGAAGTGCTGTGAAGAAAAGGCCCAAAGAACTGTGAAATTGTGCCCAAAGTGAACATGATGGAGTGTGAGCATTTGAAAAGGCTCCCCTGAGGAGGTGATGTGTGAACTGAGATCAGGAGTGAGCTAGGAGGCCCCTGGGGAGGAGGAAGGGAGGGCGACGGGAGAACAATCTGGTGGGGGAAAGGCTTGTGCAAGGACCACTTCCCAAGACCAGCGGTTCTCACCCTGGTGCAAGCTGGAATCATCTGGAAAGCTTTTAAAAATACGGCTGCCTGGATTCTGGTCTCAGCAGTCTTGCTGGAATTGGTCTGGGGTGTGGCCTGGGCATCAGGGCCTTTAAAAGTTGAGGTGAGAATGGCTCCCTAACAGGTCTCCCACACTGCAGGGAGTAAACTTCCCAACCACGTCCTTTCAGGATGCTCTTCTCAGTACCAAGGCAGAATAAATATGCTGAGCATTTCAAACATTTCATTTTCTTCCAGAAGAAATCAAAGAAACCCACATTCAGGAATTCCTTTGTAAGTCTCCTATATATAAAATTAAATAAAAGTCATCCATCAGCAATGTGTTCATTAGTAAGAAGTCCCTGTTAAAAATGGTCTAAACAAAATTGTTTCTCATGCAACAAGGAAGTCCAGAGGTGGACGATGGCTGGCTTTGGTTCAGACTCTAAGTGTCACTCTCAGGGTCCCAGGCCCCAGGAGGCCCTGATCTTTCCTGCATGTTGGCTTCTCTTCTCACACTTGTTACTTCATGGTTGCAGTATGGCTGCTGCAGCACCAGACATCTTATCTGTCTTCAAGGCAGGAAGAAGGAGGAAGCTATGTCTCCCATCAGCTATGTTTCTCCCTTATCAGGATAGACTTTCCCAGATGCCCACCCTTCTCCCACCACAGTCCTTGCATTGGCTAACAGTTTGGCACATGATCACCTCCAGATGCAAGGGACTCTGGGAAGTAGAATGCCTACCTGTCTAGTCTCTAAAGTATAGAAAGAGGAGAGGGAGAAAGAGGCTTGAGAAAGATGCTGCCACACCTAGCGTGGTTGAGGGACTGCAGAGAACATCGCCTCCTCCGCATCTTAGATCAAAAGCATCTCTTTGAACTTCTCCCTCAGGCCTACCCTGAAATAACATGGACTTCAACCTTCCTTCTGTTGTGAAGGTTGCTCACATCCCCTGGGCTGTGTGGTTTTCTCTTCCTGGGCTCTAGTAACACAGCAATCTGTTGCTTCCTAGGACAACTTGTAATGGGACCCAAAGGGGAAAGAGGATTTCCTGGGCCTCCTGGAAGATGTCTGTGTGGAACCTCCGTGAATGTGAATAACCCTTCCTACGGGGAATCCACGTACGGGCCCAGTTCCACGCGAGTCCCTGTGGTAAGGCTCTTCTGGGTGAAGGCTTGGGTGGTATTCCATTGGGCCCTCCCACCTGATCCTCTCGGGACTTTGTAAAAGCCTTTTAGTAAAACTTATTTCCCCCATTATACTTGGTACACACTCACTATGGGAAATTGGAAAATAAGGGAAAATCAAAAGAAGAAAACCAAACTGTCCATTTGGTCATGGGTCCACTTTGGAGGGTTTTCTTTGTCTTTTTTTAAGAACAAAAAATTATAGAAAATTTCAAATAAATACAAAAGTGGAACAAATCATGTAATGAACCTCCATGTACCCTTCACCCAATTCAACAATCATCATCTCATGGCCAATCTCATGTCCTCTTTACGCCTGCACACTAGTGCCCACCCTCCCTTGGACTATTTTGAAGTAAACCCTGGACACCCATTCATCATAAATATCGTTCGAATGGATGCTTAATCAGCCATCCATCATGTGGCTATGCCGCGATTTGTTTAACCGGTGCCCTCCTGTCGGATATTTATAGGGTACTCCCAAGCTTTTCACTAATGTAAATGACCCTGTAATGAACACCTTTGAGTAGAAGAATTTTTTAAAGAATCATTTCCAGATGTTGAATTACTTGACTAGATGACATCACCCTTTTTTTCAAGTCTTGGGAATATTTTAAATGTTTAAAAAATTATAAATCACGGATATTTTTATTTCAAACTCAGACGTTGGGAACTGAATTGAGAAGATGTGGGAATCAGCACATTCCTCCCCACATTGGGAGGAACACTGGAGCGTCGTCACAGGCGAACTCCCCTGCCCACTGTTACCAGTCCAAGGACAGAGAGTCTGTTTCCTCCACCAGCTTTTCCCTGGCTCCCTGTAGAGGGGTTTTCTGGAATCCTCACCAGTGTGTTCTCTGGCAGATTTTTGTGGTCAACAACCAGGAGGAGCTTGAGAGGCTGAACACCCAAAATGCCATTGCCTTCCGCAGAGACCAGAGATCTCTGTACTTCAAGGACAGCCTTGGCTGGCTCCCCATCCAGGTACCCAAGGCGGGCACTCAGGTCACACCCTGCCCAGGAAAGGGACACATCTTTAAAGGAAGGGAAGGCCAACACTTGGGCCTGGCACAGAGCTTCCGGCAGTCTGTTTCCATGGAAGGGCTGCGCATCTTTCCTCACTGTTTCTGAGCAGCTCTCCATGCCCCTGCTCCCCAAATAGAACCTCCTCTCTGAGCCCAGGTTCCAGACAATTGCGCGTCCCTGCACTTCCAGGCTGCCATCTTGATCTGGCCCCGCCTTGCTGCCAACAGCCCAGCTCTGGGCGACAGGAAAGGAGTGCCTTTCCCACCCAGGAGGAAGCCGAGGGCTGCCCCCCAGCAGTGTCCCCTTCACCCAGAGCCCATCCCCGGTGCCAACGACCTGCCTGGCGTGCTGTCCCTGGTAACTGTGGTGTGTTTCTTTGGCCAGCTCACCCCTTTCTACCCTGTGGACTACACTGTAGACGACCGCGGCTCCTGCGGGGACGGGGTCCTGCAGCCCGGCGAGGAGTGTGATGATGGGAACAATGATGTGGGCGATGACTGCATCAGTAAGTGGGCCCAGACTAGGGCGGCCTGGAGCTTGAACTGCCAGCGGGGCAGGTCAGGGCAAGTCCTGGACACCAGCTGTGCTGGTTTGGAACCTTTGGAGAGCCGGAGGGTGGGTGTACCCGCCTGCTGTGGGGATGACCCTCCCCCTTCAGGCCAAATGTTAATTCTTCCACCATCCAGGATGTCATGGGGGTTGGTGTCAAGGATCTTGCCCCCAGAGAAGCCACCAGGACCTCCCTTTTTTCTAGATCCTACTTCTTGGCAAAACCTACATTCCAGTCCACAGTGTTTATCAAAAGATAGAGGTGATACAGGAGTGAAAGGCAAAAAGGACAAGCCAAGAACTTGAATCAAGACTCACTTCCACCAGCCGGAGCCCTAGGAGGAAAACCCTTTTTCGGGGAGGTGGGCTGGCCAGGGCTGCCTTCAGGCATATGGGATGCTCCTGAGAGAGGCGGGCAGCATAGTGCTGGAGGCTTTGCTTTGCTTTCTTTTTTTTTAAAGTAACAAAAGCAGGAGGTGAGGTGGAAAGCCTGGGCTGTAGAGTCAGACAGAACAGAGTCTGAATACCGGCTGAGAAGCAGCGCTGAGAGGCAGCGGCTCACCCTGGGGCTCAGGGAGGGGGCTGCCTGGCAACTGAGGGATGGAGGGCAGTTTACAGCTCTGAGCCTCACTTTCCTCCGCTGAGAGATGGGGATGACTGTACTGACTGCTCTGTCAGTGGACGCGTGCATGGATCATCTGGGGGTAATGGGGGTTTGACACCCCTTCACTGAAGTATTTTTATGCCCTTGCTGTGAGGAGCCAGGCCCCGGCTCAGGGCTGGGGACGTGTAGCTGCAAAGTCGTGTGCCTTGCCCTCAAGAAGCCCAGGGGAAGGATGACAGTGTGGAGGGGAAGGCATGTGCAGTATGGGTGTGGGGATGAGAAGCTGCTGATTCTCTCAGGGTAGCTGCGCTGCCCATGACAGGTCCCAGGACGGTCACCTGGTCACCTGGTTACCCCTGGGAGGCTGGCTTTGCCTGAAGTCCCTTCTGCCCAGGGGGGAGACACCATCAAATAGGAGATCACACAGCAGGAAGGAACTGATGCGGCCTCGAAGCCCTGTGGAGAGGAGAGTGGGGTTCATACTCCAAGACCCTCCCCTTGTGTGAGAACAGAGACCCCGTTGGGGCTCATCTGGCTCCCCAGGGACATGGGCTTACCTACCCTGGAAGCTCTCTGTAGACAGACAAGAGCCCCTGTGGCTGTCACTTGTGCCTGATGCTCACTGTCTCCTGCCCCTCACCACGGGAACCCTCAGTGGTCTGTGAGGGGAGGCGGTGTCCATGCCCCAGGTTCGAGGTAAGGACAGCGGGGCCTGGAGAAGCCAAGTGGCCTGCCTACAGTCCCCCGGCTAGGAGGTGGCCAGTCTGGGCTGAAGCCCGGGCTCCTTGTTCTCTGTCGGTGTGGGACTCAGGGGTCTGAGGGACAGTCCCTGGACTCATCTGAAGCTTTGTGGAGGTCTGTTCAAGGGGGCGCATGCTCTGGGCGGGTCCTTGAGGCCACACATTCCTACAGGCCGAGGCCGGTCTGTGCCAGCCCTGCCCCTTCTCAGGGCTCACTTCCTTGTGTCCTCTCAGGCTGTCACCGGGCGTACTGTGGAGACGGTCACCGGCACAAGGGCGTGGAGGACTGTGATGGCTCCGACTTTGGCTACCTGACGTGCGAGACCTATCTCCCTGGGTAGGGACCGCCTCCCGTGCTATTATGACACCCCTGCCTCCCTCCTCCCCTGCTCTCCTTCACAAATATTTTAAAGTGCCTCTTCTGTTCCTGGTACTTTCTAGACAGTGAGGTATGGTGACAAATAACAAGCACATGGTCCCTGCTCCCCCAGGGGAGACAGGCGATAAACACATAACCGCTCCGTGGCCCTCTCAGAGCAGCCTGCATGCCGCTGAGGCCGAGCTGAGACAGACACAGCCACCAGCTGGGCCGTCTCCCACCCCCGGCAGGCCTGTGGGTGCAAGTGAGATCACGCCAGCTTTAATATCTAATTTTGCTGCCTCTTGGCTCCTCCAAGAAAACCCCGGGAACTTAGTCTTCCCCTCAAGGACCCCCGAGTTATTTCCGAGCCTCTTCAGTGGGTGTTCATGTTGCTCCAGATAAGTATTCTAGTGTCCTGGCCTCCACGTTGACATCTCCTGAGCAAACTGAGGGCCGCTGGCCCTCTGAGGCACTGATTCCATGCCCAGAACATGGCCTCCTAGGCTCCTTTCAAGGTGCAGAATGGTGCCATGTTCCCCTTAATCCTCACAGAACCAGAGTTGTATACACTCTAGGGAAAAGGGGGAGGCCATTCCTCCCCGTTGCCGTCCACATCCTGCTTCTGCCTTGGCTCCAAAGTGGATTGCTGGCCCCTCATACCTCCTAAGTCCCTCAAGAGTCCAAGTTCTCCAGCCCTGGCTTCCAACCCTGTTCTTCTGTTAGGCTTGGATCCAGGCCCTCAGCAGGGCTAGGAAGCAGACACAAGACCTGTCTCTCTATTGCACCCTCCCTGCTCTCTCTTCCAAGGCGGTCTCCTCAGTGCTCACCCCCAGATGCATATCAACATATCAAACCAGGCTGGGGGAACTACAGACTTGTAGTCACCCCCAAACCCTTGAGCACTGTAGGCTTGGCCAGGACCACACTGCCTCTATGTGTCTGTCGGCACTGCCACCTCCCTGAAGTAAGGAGGGCTCCTAATAGGCACCTGCCAGAGAGTTGGTGGAAGGTCTAAGCTGGTTGATGGCTCCATGGAGACAACTGAGTGTAGACAATTGGACATGGAGTACAGGATCACGCAGAGCCCAGGGCTCACCTACTGACTCACTGTGGTCACTCACCTAACCCCTAGAAGCTGCAGGGGATGCTTGTGAATATGGCTATAATGTATAACACATTGTCTCAGGATTGGCACTTGGGCTTACAGAGGTATAGACTGTGTTGTCCAATATGGTAGCCTCTGGCCACATGGGGCTATTTAAATCTAAATTAATGAAAATGAAATAAAATTAAAAATCCAATTCTTCCATCACACTAACCTTATTTCAAGAGCTCAATAGCCACGGATATGGCGAGTGGCTGCCATATTGGACTGCATAGAAATAGAACATCTGCATCAGTACAGTACAATGCAATGGACTGCGCTGGAAGACTTTCAGGCCTTGAGAATGGGGTGAGTCCCTTGGAGATGCTGTGTTAAGAGCAAGGCTGCCAACCCCTTCCACCCAGATCCCTCAGCTGGGCTCAAGGGAAAAAGCCCCAGAGTCCTGGGCTCAGCTGCCCCAAGCCCCTTACCCCAAACGGGAACGAGAACAGCCTCTATAGAACACTGAGCCCTTAGTACTGGGGGAGCAGTGGCTGCTGTTGGGTGAGGTCTGACAAACATCACCAGAGGTGGCCTTTTAGAACTTGGCTTTGTCCTCAGGGCTGGGCAGGAGCCCTCCTGCCCAGTGCCAGGTGTCCGCCCTGACCCGTGTCCGCCTCCCGCAGGTCGTATGGAGACCTGCAGTGCACCCCGTACTGCTACATCGACTCCACGCCCTGCCGCTACTTCACCTGAGGGGCACGAGGAGAGCTGGGCTGCATCCCACGGAACTGGCAGCAGCTTCTCCACCCTCGTCAAGCTGACCTGGCACCACCTGGTCCAGTTTCCACCAACTTCACGCGACAAAAACAAGGACAAACTCTTGCTGCTAAGATGCTCTTCTGACTCAGTCCGACTGGAAGAACTTAGGACCACCACATCCTGTCTTAATCCAAAGTACCCGAAGACCTTCCACATGCCCAACCTGGGAACTGTTCCCCATCACTGCCATTTGGCCAATAGCTGACCCACAGCACCCCTTCTCTTCTGGAGTGTTGCCGCCGCAGGCCGCGCACTGGCTTAGCACTGTTAGACACACTCAGACCTGCGGGGCTGCCTGAGCTTGTTCTCATCCCGTTTGGAGCGTCTGGGGTACAGGCCTCTCTGCTCCTCTGACCTCTGGAAATGCGGGCGTTCTCAGCCAAGACAGCCGGCCATCCGGCCTCTCCAGGCCCGTGAACCACAAAGCAGGGAGGTGGGCCTGTCCTCTTGGGGTGGCTCCCAGCTTTGGACTCGCTGAGGGACCCCTAACTGGCCACAGCCCAGCACAGCCTCATGTGGATGCAGCTCCCCCAGGAAGAGACCCAACTGTGAAAAAGTACTGAGAAAGCCACCAAACCCGTGCTCTGGCCGGGTAGAGGGTGGAGGCTCAGCTGGGTGCTTGCCATGCGGACAATAGCAGAGCAGTGGCCTTTTGCTTCTCAACGTTTCCCAAAGGGGTGGCCCTCGTGGTTTCACCATCCCCCCGCACCATCTTGACCTCGTGGCTCTCTGTACTTTGGCCTCTGTTTTGTGAATGCCCCTCATATCCATTTCTTGTTTAGGAGATTCGCTAGCAGAGGGTGACCTCCTGAGGCCATGCCCAGGCAGGTTCTCGGTCTTTCCTCAGTCATTAGGAAAACACTGCCTGGGGTTCCACACCGGGGACCCCATTACTGAGGACATGCTCTAGGCAGAGACGGTTTCTGTCCTAAGCTCCAGCTCCTGGCTGCCTGCTGACTCCTGTGAGCACCACGACCTCCCTTCTGTGTCCCCATAGTGCATAGCCTGGTCCTCATGTCTGTGTACCAAGCCCCCCATGTCTCTACAGGGTCCTGAGTCCTGCATGTCTGTGGGCTGCCTTTCATCACCATCTTTCCGGAATGGGGTTTTAGCTTTGTTTTGGAAAGGTGTCCCCCGACCGCAGACCTCAAATGGGATTTGCCCATTTGTTACCAGATGGAGAGACACTCCTGGGCTTTTGTACAAAGCCATTTAATGTGCTTGAGTCTCTGGGACTTCAGGCCTAGTGGGCCATCCATCGTCCTGGTGGTCTGTAGTGGACGACATCAGCCCGAGGCGGGGGTGTCTTCAGAGGTGGGCACATTGGTCAGCCCGATTCCCTCAGCCCCTACTGCAAGTCCTCGGGTGATGGCCCCCCTACGTAAAGCCAGCATCTTCATACTGGGATCTCTGGATGGGAAATCAAGAAATAAAGGCAGTTCATTTCCCCACTGTGGCTCTCTCGTCCCTGGGGGTTGGGGGCCAGTGTCTTAGCACTGCTGGTTAAAATGAGGGGGCTGAATTCGTCTGCTACCTAGACTATGCAGAAGGTTCTAGAATGTGGAAGCAGTCCCACTCCCTCAAGGACAAGGGAGGAAACTAAGGTCTGGAGATGTGGAGGGACTTGCTCAAGGTCCTAAAGCCCCATCTTGCTAACTCAGCCCCGCCCCCAGCCTTGTTTTAGGATCTTGTTTAGGACACGACAGAGATCCAGTACTGCCCTTGGACCTGGCCAAGAGTGGCCCTGTCCTGGGTCCCACTCCTTGCAGGGCACTTCTCTGGCCCTCCCCTAGCTGTGACCTTCCCCATAGGGCAGGGAGTCTGGGAAGCCAAGGTGACATGCCCACTGGAGCTGGCACACCCCTCTCCCAGACCAGGCTCCAGCTACCCAGGAAACCACAGTTCCCCACCCAAGCGGTCCTGAGCCTGCTTCCAGGGCTCACACTCTTCCCCATGTCTGTGCTCCTGAGTGTGAGTATGGCCTGCACACACCTGGAAGCACCCACGGTGGCCAGGGGCAAGCTGTTCATAGGGGTTATAGATGGAGCTTAGTTCGCAGGCTTGGGGTTTCCTCTCAGTGTGCGATGGGCCAGGGGCAGGGCTGGGGCCTGGCCCTGCTCTCCTTGTGCTGCCACACGCTGGCACAGAACTTTGACGAATCTAAAAATTCCATATTCAAACCTGGCTTTCCAGGTCTTTCGGAACGTGTACCTGTCACGGTGAGCAGAGAGAACATATCTCAGAACAGTAGTTAGTTGATTAGACTGTAAATCCTGCGACAGAGGGGTGTGAGCCTCCTGCTGTCCTCCATCCCCAGCCCCACAACATTAGAGGGGGGCCTGTCTCCAGCTGTTTCAAGGGAGAGTTCTGAAAGGCTTGGGAGATGAAAGGATTCAAAGTCATACGTCTTAAATATATATATAATAATAGTAATTCCACCCCTTTGGCACTGTGCAATGGAGGATGAAAGATCAGGGAAGCTGGGTGGCCCCCAGCCCTTCCCTGAAATGCTAACTGTGGTGTAGGGAGCAGGTTCCCCAGAGACAGGGGCTTCTGTGAGCAGGCCAGGCAGCCACAGAATAGGTAGCTGAGAGCGCACCTCTGCCAGGTAAACGTGTGCTGAGCTCATCCACTAGTCCGCGGGAAGTTGAGGTGCCGCAGTGTGGTGGGAGGAGCACTGAACTGGGAGTCCTGGGACCTAGGTTCATACCTGGTTCATCATTTCTCACAGCCTCCATTTCCTCACCTAAAATAGACTTTAAGCAAGGGCTGGATCTTCTTCCAACTCTAACAGCTTGTGAGTGTGGACTCTGTGCTCCACTGTGACAGGGCACGCCCCAGGAGTGGCAATAGATTACCTCAGCTGCTCCCAAGGCTGTCACATGGAGTGGCTGAGAATATCACAAGGTCTTCAGAGGTCTTCAGAGCCTCAAAGGAGGCTATTGCCAGTCCAGAGGCTCTCGTTGGCAAGTAGCAGGAAATCCAATTTAAATATGATATAAACGACAGGGTAGAATTTATTGGCTCATATAACTTAAAAATTCCTGTAGTGGGGTGGAGATCAGGCATGGTTCAATCAAAGCACCCACTCCATTCCTCTACTTGAGCTATCTTCTCAGCTATTTGCATCTCTCCTGTTAGTCTGAGCCTTAGGGTGGTCATGAGCAGACTGCTGTAGTTGCAGTCTTATTCTGCACCCTGCAATAGCCAGAGGAAGAGAGAACATCTATTCCAGTGGCTCTGAAGAAATTTGTTTCCAGAAGCCCCTTGCAAATCTTGCCTTGAGCCTCACTGGTCATACACCCATTCCTGACCCAATTCCTATCATCAGGAGGATGTCACCTGCTGATTGTATTAGAGCCTGGTTCCTGAAGCCACAGTGGCAAAGGTTATACGATTACTCTTAGCTCACTCCCTGGAGATTCTCCAGAAGCTCACAGGCTACAGGGGAAGGGGTGGCTACTGGACCAAACGCTGCGGAGAAGGAATAGAGAACAGTGCTGGGCACACATCGCCCAGCACAGCGGCCGTCTCTCCACTTTCGCTTTTCCTGTTGGTAGGATCAGGTGCTGAGGCACTTGGGGCAAACATTTGGGAAGACTGCCCATACCCAGCAGGCTTAGTTGTTCTGACAGGTCCACTCAGAGAGGTTGTCTCTCATAGGCTGCTGCAGGTCATGAAAGATGTGGGGCAGATTGTGAAAAAAGCAAAAAATTGGAGCCACACACCTGGACGTGAAGCTCTGTTACCAACTTGCTGTTTAATTATCCTGCATAATTTGCTTAACTTCTCTGAGTCTCTGTTTTCTCATCTATATACTGGGCATAATAGTACCTTATTTCAGGGCTGTGTTGAATTTTAGTGATCACATGGTTAAAATTTCTGACACCTAGAAACTGATTAGGAAGTGTTATTTAATGGCCCAGGCCAATCAATCATCTCTTTGGGGAGCAGGGGTATTTTTCTTCCCTCTTTGAGGCTGGTTACATGAGTTCACTTCTGACAGCAGTTTGGACCACAGCCTTTACTGCAAAGCAGTGAAGAAGAGCAGTGGTCCTCAAACTCTGCTTCACGACAGCCCATCTGATGAATACCCCCTGGGCCGAACCTGCGGATCAACAGAATTAGGTTTACAAACACCAGAGGAACAGTGGGTGTCTCATCACACGCAGACAGACAAGATCACGATAGGATCTGGGGATGGGTGGAGTGTAAGTAGAATGTTAATAAAGCAGTGCTGGGACAGGCGTAAAGGAAAGCAGGCTGTGTATAAAGGGGCTGACGGCAAGCCTGGACTGTGAGGTGGACCCAGGTCCTGATTCCTTGGAAAACTACAAAGTTAAGAAAAACGCAGAATGTGGTACCTGAGAACCCCTATCAGAAGTTCTAGGGGCCGGCCCGGTGGCCGAGTGGTTAAGTTTGCACACTCCGCTACGGTGGCCCAGGGTTTCGCTGGTTCGGATCCTGGGCGTGGACGTGGCACTGCTCATCAGGCCACGCTGAGGCGGCGTCCCACACAGCACAACTAGAAGGACCTGCAACTCGAATAAACAACTATATACTGAGGGGCTTTGGGAAGAAGAGGAGGGAAAAAAAAGATTAGCAACAGATGCTAGCGCAGGTGCCAATCTTTGAAAAAAAGTTCTGCATCAGGGTGGAAATTGAAACTGCTTCTCTGTGTCAGTGACTCACGTGGCTCAGGTCTTCCAGGCAAGAGTGGAATGTTCCGTTCTTACTGAGAGGCTTGCAAACTGCAAAGTTTTGACAGTCCATGATTTCAGTCACAGTTTTGCAGTGATTTTGGTTCAGGTGGCAGGCGTGACAAAGCAAGGCTGGGTATGTCATTGGAAAGAAAGCAGGAGTCACTCAAAGGAGTGATTATGACACTTTTGAGCTGTAGCGGTGACCTTGGGAGAAAGACTGCTCCCTGTTAACTTGCAGCTGGCTTCAGTGTCGGCTCCAGGAGTCTCACAAACGGCAGGGCACGGGGCTGACTTTCACTCAGTCTGGACAGGTTTTTTCACTGGTTCTTTCACCAGCAATAGAAGCCCGAGCTCTGCTCAACTATCCCCACAGATCTTCCTGTGGTTGGGATTCTCTGGGCCAGCCCAGAAGCTCCTACCATATCCAGGAAAGTGTGGGGATGGGGTTTGGCCACAGGACTCTTCTCTATCTTCCTGCAAAGCTGTTTGAGTGACAAGTTTGCAAGCAAAGTAAGGTCTTTGAAGGAAGCTTGGTAACTAGTACTTAGGAACCGGTGCTTGGGAAGTGGGCAGGACAAAGTTTCTGAGCATCGTGGGACACACCGGTCATCCACCACTCAATTAGGGGCATAGAGGGCACATATGTGTCAAACTGCTTAAGAATCGCCAAACCTCGTTATAATTACTGGGCCAACCTGCGGCCCAATGACTGCTTTACTTGAGCTGCTGGCCCCATCTCTTCCCTAGAGTAGAGTGAAGCAATTTAAATTTTCATTGAAACTCAGATCTTCCATTTGTGTGGTAACAATGAGCTCACAGGTCAAGGACCTTGGTGATTTGCCAAGGAGACTGTTACACATGAGTTACCCATAGTTACCACTGATGGGCCCCGAGGACCCAGGAGTGTGGTTTATTGCCAGCATCTTCATTTCTAACCACTCTGAGAGGGTTGCAAATCACACAAGACTAGTGGGTTAAGGACTCCCCACCCCACCTCATCCAATCCCCGCTGAGAAATACAGGAAGAGAACTCACGTTGCCTTTATCAGAGGGGCTTTCTCTATGGTGGTTCATCTGAGTTCATTTCAGCCCCAGACAGCTGACTTTTTGAGTCAGACAAGTCTACAAGGAACCACCTCATAAAGGAACAAATTGGTTATTTCCCCTGCCCTCTGTCCCCCTTTGCTGCACTCTCTTTAGAAATGAAAAGGGGCCCATATAACACTGAAATTCTGCTGCTGAGACACTAGTATCATCTTAAGAGCATTTCATTTGTGTTATTTTGGCCCCTATAATTTCTTTAAGGGCAATGGTGAATTTTCTTGTTTGTAATGTTCCAACCCATAAACAGCACCACACTCCACTGCATGCCCCACCCAGGTTACCCTCAATCCAACATCTAGGATGGGAAGTTGAAGGCAGTCATGGGTCATCACTTGAGGCTCACCAAGAGACTTCTGTCCTGGGTCAGTGGTTCCCAAGCTTTAGGGTTCATGAAGTGAAGGGCATGTCAGAACAGATTACTGGGTCCCACCCTCAAGTTTCTGATTCAGTAGGTCTAGGCTGGGGCCTGAGAATTTGCATTTCTAACAGGGTCTCAGAGGATGCTGATGCTGATGGACCAGGGGCCACATTTTAAGAGCCACTGCTCTAGGGAGAGGTCTCATCTGAGAATATTACAGAAGACTAGACCAAAAATACAGGGAGGAAAAGTGGGGACTTGAGTGAGCAGATTTTTATACTTTCCCATTAAAGAGGTGGAGTCTATGTCCTTCCCTCTTGAATCTAGGTGGGCTTTTGATGCTTTGACCAATAGAATACTGTAGATGGAATGCTATGTGACTTCCTAAGCTAGGTCATAAAAGGGCATGCAGCTTCTCAGAACATACATTCTATTCTAGGAGAAAGCAGCCATCACGTAAGAAGACTGACAGCCCTGAAACTGCCATGCTAGAGAGGCCATGTAGGCCCTCTGGTTGATGGTCTCAAATGAGCCTGCTTCCAGCCATCCCCATCATGGCGCCAGACATGTGAGTGAAGCCAACCTGGACTCTCCAGTCGTGTCCACCTGCCAACCGAGTACCAGTGAGGGATCTCAGCTGAAGCCACAAGGAGCAGGATTGCCCATCCAAGCTCTGTCTTAATTCCTAACCAGCAGATTCCATGAGCTAAAATGGCTGTTGTTTTAAGCCACTAAGTTTTGGGGTAGTTTGTTACTCAGCAATAGATAACCAGAATAGTACTCTAGGTTAGAAAGGGTAGGAAGGAAGCAAACTACATGCAGTGAATCAGGAGGAAAGCGCCAAGCCTAGAGGAGCCATTGGCTTGGGTTTGGCGCCCTCTGCAGGAAACATGAATAGAAATCTATCCTCATGCCAGGAGAAACGCCAGAGCTAGGAGGGGCCTCGGTGATCACATGGCCCAGGGTTCTCAACCATGGTGGAGAGCTGGGGTATGTGGAGGTAGTAGACTGATTGCAATAATAGCCATGGTTCTATACCTCCCCACATAGACACCTTTCTAACGTACTTTACAACTCCTCCCATCAACCGGTGGAGTCTATTTCCCCATCCCTTGATTCTAATCTTGGCCCTGTGACTTGCTTTGGCCAAAGACATGTTAGCAGTTGTGACAGAGGCAGTTGTGTTTCCTCTCTCACTCTAGCATCTCTGCCTTTGCCTCGACAATATGCCCTGGCTAGGCTGCCAGAGGATAAGACACATGGAGCCGACCTGAGTTGCCCCAGTTGTGCTGGCCAAGGCCATCCTAGATCAACTGGATTTGTCAACTGTCAGGCATATGAAGGAGGCCAGTCAAGACCAGAACTGTCCAGCCACTCCGGTGTAAATCACTAATCCAGACCTGTGAGCAAAATAAATGCTTATTATTTTAAGCCACTGAGTTTGGGGATGGTTCATTACATGTCATTGTAGTGCCAACAGTTAGCAGAGGGTCAAACACTACCACTTATTTCCCCACTGAGAGTCCTGGTTCAAGTCTAACTCCCATCTCCATCTCAGGAAATAGGAGCCAGTTGCAGAATAAGCAGCAGAGGATTCCCAGCCGAGTTCTCTTAAGGTATAACTGTATTCAATCCAAACTTATGGAGCATCCGTTAGGTGAAAGACACCACAGAGAATTAAAAAGGAATATGGGATCCAAACCGGCAAACCCCGGGCCGCCGAAGCAGAACGTGTGAACTTAACCGCTGCACCACGTGCAGACATGGCACCGCTCATCAAGCCATGCTGAGGCAGGCGTCCCACATATAAAGTAGAGGAAGATGGGCACGGATGTTAGCTCAAGGCCAGTCTGCCTCACCAAAAAGAGGAGGATTGGCAGCAGATGTTAGCTCAGGGCTAATCTTCCTCAAAAATAAATAAATTAATTAATTAAATTTTAAAAAAAGGAATATGGTCAGTACCTACTTAGGAGTTCGCAGTTTATCAGGGGAGCCAAGACCACAAGACAGGCATGGGTATTGCTATATCAGAGGTGTGGAATAGAAGCGGGAGGCAGGATCCTTCCAGCGAGCGGGTGTCAACTGGGGCTCAGAGGTGCATGCGTGTACGTATGGGTGGCATGGCATTCCAGGTGGGGGGAATGGTGAGCTAACAAGCCAAGAGATGTGTAGGGATTCAGTTTAACCCTTTCATGGTTCTCAGACCCAAAGTTAAGCCTGCCTTTCCAGACCAAGGAAACGGCCTCAGATGCCATGTGGCTGGCTAAGGTCATCCTTTAGTTTTGAACTTCACACCTTTTAAAACTGAGGTGTATGTCTAATGATCATAAACTGAAAACTAAAAAGGAATCAATTTAGACAATCAGGCTTAAGCACAAAGGATTCTTAAAAGAACACTACATGTTTCATAGCTTTCTAGTAAAAAATAAAACCCACTAAGACATGAAGTGCATTGCTGACCTTCATTTTTCACTTAAATACAGTGATCTTTTAAGAGAATAAACCAAAAAAACTTCTCACAGCAAATATTTTACATAAATGTAAACATGCACATCTACTTCATAATTAAGCAAAATAAACTTTCAAGCACAAGATTTTAAAAATTATTAAAGAATGAGACAATGAACCCAAGACAGAAATAATAGGAGCAACAAAAATACACATTTCATAACACTTCAATTCAATGGTCTTGTCTTCCAACCTACTGGTTAGCGCCTGAGTTTCAGAAATCCTACCCTCCTTGCCGAACGGACACATCCAATTTGGCTGTACCTAATAGATATCCACATAACAGACTACTCCTCTTCCAAAATAATGGAATAAATACATCTCACACCCCCCCCCCCCCCCCCCCGCCACACACACACACACCCCACTTAGCCAGCTTCTCAAATAGAGAAGTAAGGATTTTGGTATTTTCAAGTTTTCCCACCACTGAAGCACATACATATTAACACCACACACAGAAAAAATGATTTGCTATAGAAATAAAATAACGAGTGGCATCATTACAAATCTCTAGCTTGTTTGTACTAAGTTTCCCCAAATCACGTCTTTATGTGTCTTTACTTTCCATGGCTCCTCGGGTACTTTGGACTTAAGTCTTTACACCTCACCTAATGACCCACAGTATAGCAGCCATTGTATGGGACAAAGAAAAAGAAATTTTAACAATTCAGTTAGACTTCAAAATCATGAAAATCAGCATGGATAGTTTCAGCTGTCTCCAAATGCCTGGAATGTTTTCTCTCTGTCTACCCTCTGTACTCCACTGGTTGGTTTTCTGCCTCCTCCCCAGCAGGCTAAAAGCATCTGAATGTCTATTCCTGTGGACACCCAGGGAACAGAGATGCGAATGATGGTCGCTGCTTTTAAGACTTCACACCAACCAGACTCAAGCAAGAGGAAAGTCAGTATGTACGCACAGCACTCCAGGCGGCTGAAACGAAAGGCAGAGTCCAGGAAGACTACCGCCTACAGAGCCTCGGGAGCAGGACCGGTGGGGAGGGGGAGGAGAGACTGAGAAGGCACAGAGGCAGGAAGAACAAATCCAGTTTGGCTGGCATGAGGGTACTCGTGAGTAATAGTCTGTGAGGCCAAATGCTTGATTTCCAAAAAGAAAAGATTCCTTCCCCTGGTGGGTAAAGCTGGAGGGCGGGGGGAGAGAACCACCGAAGGCTTTGTGCAGAGAACAACACGGGAGCCGTGCTGGAGGAAACGGTGTGGTGCCAAGTGGGATGGATGACGGAGAGGGTCTGAAGCTTGGAAAGCTTGACTCACCAAGCCCCAGTGCCACATGCAAGCATTTCCTATAGAAACAAACAGCTTGACCCGACATGCCAAAAACCACAGTTCTGTCTATATAATCAAGACTCTGGGAGAAAAAATAAAGAGAGGCATAGATAGATATTTTCAGTTCAAGTTCCTGGAACCTGCCCAAGCTTGAGCAAGTTAAGAGCAGTGAGACAATTTCCACATCCAGTAACAATTCAAGTCTCCCAATCGTGACCCTCACCTTCCCTGAGCTGTCATTACAAGGAATTATAAAGCTATTATCAATTCATTATAAATAAGTTCCTATCTGCCATTAAATCCACTGAAACCCCACAATGGGCTGAGAACCCACCCCAGGGTACCAGCATGTACCTATTACCTACCCTTGGTAGAGTGGTGTGAGCGTGCTGCTAGACAATGGCTCCTGGCCCACATCTCCAGCTCACTGGGGTCACTATGTGATGAAACAGGTGACTCTACAAGGCTCAACTCTAACCAAGCCCCCACCACGCATCATCTAATTTCTTTCTAGGTCCAGACTGCCTCCCTCCACTAGCTGGGGAGGCAGAGGCCATCTGAGTGGAGCAACCCGAGGAAGGAAAATCATTTCTCATGTTCTTGATACCCACTGAATCATAGATGGAAATTTCTCAAGACATATTCACCCAAATTACAGAAATGGGCTACTCCATACTAATAACAGGACAATATATCACACATTCACTCAATAGGGAACATTTACTAGCGACCAGTTTCCTGCAACAACAGATTCATTTGGAAACTGCACGTTGCAGAAGGCAATCTTGTGACTTTCTTCTAGTTGTATATAAAAAGTAGAAATTGGTCTGGGCGTCAGGCACAAACAGTGGTACAAAAGCATGAACGGAAATACCTTATCAAAGAATGTGCTCGTTTCATACTGCAGAGCTCCTATCTAGCTTCTGGGTTTTGGAAACCTGCTGCTGGTTCACTTGTTTAGAAAGTTTCTTCACTACACCTCTCACCCACTCCTATCTCCCCCTACTAAAATCCACTGAGTGAAGACCTAGTATGGATCCACATGGAACTAAAAGCCCCGATCACTGAGTAATACGCATCAGCACAGTGGCTGCTGGTTTAATCTGCTCACCCAGCCTCATGTATTTAGGTGTCTGGATCTGAATCTGAGCTAGAAGTACCCAACACTTTTGTCTTTTGGAATCTAATAAAAGCTCCAACGTACATCTGTAAGTCTCATGTATAAGAAGCTCTGGTTCCAATAAATGAGATTCAAGGGAGGGAGCAGTGGGAAAAGCCTGGACTGGGGCCAGGAGACTGGCTGGAAACCAGCTGTTTTTCCCTTATTTGTAAACAAGGAGGCTGAAGTAGCAGAGCTCCAGCTCCGACCCAGCTGACACTCTGGGCTCCATCTTGGAGTCCGTTTCTACACAGGCGTGTCAGGCTGGGTCAGACAAACTTCCTCACCACTTTGTGTCAACAACGTAAAGTGGTTTTAACATACTTCTATGCTGCAGTTTAAGGTTTTCCTCTCTCCTACCCCTCGAAGACTGTGTTTCACTTCACTGGTGCAGGCCACTTGGCCAAACTAGTGGTTGCTGAGGTTTAAAACTAAATCACTAGTCTGGTGAAGATATGGCCTTCGTGTAACCTAGACCAGGGCACATTTGTCTGTTCTTCATTAACAGTGTTAACCAAATAGAAATATAACTGTTAGTTCTTCTATAGATCTACTTAAACTTTGAAACACGAGATTGTTCAAAAATTACATGAGAAATTCACCCATTACCACTAAGTTAAAGACTTGAATATCTGAGAGCTCCGGAGCCTCAAACTCCTACTACAGTCTCTGATCCACGACATTTTCCTCCTGGCAATGGACTCCGTGCTAAAGTAGCCTGGTCTTGCAGCATATTTGTGCACCAAAAAGTTGATTTCAAAAGATCCGGCTCTAGTCATCACTGTCACTGCCAGACTCACTCAACTGCAAGTCATTTCCTATAAAAAGAAAACAGAATCAAACCAAAAGTACACAGTTTAAAACAACATCCCCACAATTTTTTGGTTGACTGCCTTGGCTATCACACCCCAGTAAAACCAGGCCAATTAAATTTAATTAGGGAGGAAAATCAATTTGGCTCAGTGACAAAACTGGTACAGTCAACATTTTTAAAGAAATGCTATTTTTGTTACCTGCAAAGCCCAGCAATGCTCCTTACTGGTATAGAACGGGGAGGAATAGACTAGACAGCTTTTAAATGTGTTAATAAATAGCAAAGAAATATTTACAAATAACTAATTCACTGTCTAGCAGAATTGGTCACATTAAGTTGCTTTATAAAAGCTAAAACACCACCAAATTGGGCTTCCCGTTAAGGAAGCTGACTACCGTTTATACCAATAGTATGCTAATCCAACATGGGCCCTGGTACACCTCTTTTCAGGAAATTCACTTAACTTTAAACCTCAAGTCAGAACAAACGAGCTTCGTAAAGCCTCAAATTTTGGTTTAGCGTGCAGAATTTAGGCTTTGGGAGTGAAGAAGATAAGTACCCCACATTTCAATCTAACGGAACAACAACAGGACCCCAGTTGATATCACTTGGATTACAACAAAAGTGAACTTCTGTATTTCTGAGTTGCTAATCGTTAGGCCACCT